TAGGACTTGTAGTATCAAATGAATGCCCAAGGGGAGATTTTTCTACCTTGGTTTGGTAAATCTCACACCCATACCAAAAGCAGTATATGTCAATTTCATGGGAAATTAGGAAGATTTTACTATAAAAAGAATACTTATATTAAAGAATACATAACTTCATATATGAAACAAGAGATCATATTAAGACCAATAAAAGGAAACAGGTAAAGGTAGCCAAAGTTGAAGAGATGAACAAAAAGTTACAGTGACCTCCATAGATGGATTTAATATAGAGTTAGTAGTTGAAAAGCTAATTGAACACACATGCTGGCACTGGTCTAAGCTTTTTTCATGTTTTATCTCACTTAATCCTCACAGTGACTCAATGAGATGTAGGCACTGTGATCAACTTCATTTGATACAAAGCATCCCGAATCTTACAGAATTTAATTAAATTGACCAAAGGCCATACAGCTAGATTGGGGTAGATCCAGAATTTGAACTTTGGTTTGTTCAATATCAGAGCCAAGGTTTTTCACAACTTCACTAACCTATGCTGTTTTTTTAAATATCATTATAGACTACTTTCATTTGAAGTTCTTCAGCTTATAAAGTATATTAGTTCAGGCTATACTACATGAAATCACCATTTTTGGGGTACATCAAAAATGTTGAATATTGACAATCTTCTGTTTCAGTTTACAATGTGGTATCTTTTGCTCCAGAAATATCTTCTCCCCTTTCCACCCACGCACGTAAAAATCAAATGCAAATATTTTTCTCCCTTCAGTTCAGTTCAGTGGCTCAATCGTGTCTGACTCTGCGACCCTGTGGACTGCAGCATGCCAGGCTTCCCTGTCCATCACCAACCCCTGGAGCTTGCTTAGACTCCTTTCCACAGGTCGGCTCTGTCATTCACTGCCTAATGGTATTGCTTTAATGCTTCCTTCAATCCTGAACTCTCTCTACAATTCTTTTCAATCTTTTGTACAATCATGGTAATTAACTTGAAGCCATGTTACAGGGTTCCCTCTGATAACTTGTTTTCTCCCTTGGATGATTCTCTTGAGGCACAATCAGTGTGCCTCCAAACACTACTACACAAATTTTACTGAAGATGCTTAGTGGAGATAGAGGTATTGTCTACCATTTCACACCCCACAATACCTCCATAAAAAGCAAAACCAAAACAAAACTCTCCTTCCCAGCCCCTTTCTCCCTATACCACCCTCCAGGCAGGTTTCAAACTTTTTCCAGCCACCTTCTGCAGCCTCCAAGTTCTTTTTCATCCCTTGATTTTCCTGTAGCTGGAAATAACTTCTTGTATGTAATGCAATTTGACGGTGCATAAGCTTATGTGATTTGTATCTGCACTCATTACCACCTTGCTCAACAAATGAAAACCATTCTCTGGATCCACCTTCCTTAGAAAGTAGTAAAATATTACAAACACTAAATAATATCTTCCCTTCATGTTCCTTGGGGAATATGAATTATTTTCCCAATGGACTATCAGCCCACATCTTGAAAACAAGAATATTTATTTAGCACCTTCTATGAGCCAAGTTTGTTACTTTGCCAACAAAGGTCCGTCTAGTCAAGGCTATGGTTTTTCCAGTAGTCATATATGGATGTGACAGCTGGACTGTGAAGAAAGCTGAGTGCCGAAAAATTGATGCTTTTGAACTGTGGTGTTGGAGAAGACTCTTGAGAGTCCCTTGGACTGCAAGGAGATCCAACCAGTCCATTCTAAAGGAGATCAGTCCTGGGTATTCATAGGAAAGACTGATGCTGAAGCTGAAACTCCAATACTTTGGCCACCTCATGCGAAGAGTTGACTCATTGGAAAAGACCCTGATGCTGGGAGGGAGTGGGGGCAGGAGGAGAAGGGGACGACAGAGGATAAGAAGGCTGGATGGCATCACCGACTCAATGGACATGAGTTTGAGTAAACTCCAGGAGTTGGTGATGGACAGGGAGGCCTGGCGTGCTGTGATTCATGGGGTCGCAAAGAGTTGGACACGACTGAGCGACTGACCTGAACTGAACTGATGAGCCAAGTACAATATTCTGTGCTTTACATGGATTGATTAGTCTCCATGTCTTATGCTTATTATATATTCCCCAAAACCTACTGTGTTGCAAGCATAGAGCTGGTATTATGTTATATATATTGGTAAATTGATTTCCATGGTACTCAATAACCTTTCAAAGAACTAAGAAAGAGGGATTTAAACTAGTAAGATGAATTCTGATTTACCAACAGAAATAAATTCACTGGACTGTATATATTTTTAAGGGTGATGAGTATTTTTTTAAAGTTTTCTTATAAAATGTCAATAGTATGACCTACTAACCTTTCAAATGTATAATTAAATTATTTAATGTTAGGTCAATAAGAGAAATAGTAAAATTTCTGACAAGAAGAAAGTAAGTGCTTTTTTGTAACACTATAATCTCATGAATAAAAGGAATGTAATTTAAATGATATGATATACATGTAAATTAACAAAACACTGTAAAAACAGATACCCAATCCTAGCTAAGATGTAATAAGGCAAATATATCCACACTTATATTTATATAATAAGATCATGAGTGGAAACACATCTTTTGGAAAGCAATGTGACAATATGGATCAGAACCCCCAAGATATTTATATCCTTATATTCAATATTAATGAGTACTAGAAATTTATTTTGAGAAAAATAAGATTAAAAAATATATAAACAAAGATTTCCACCCTAGTGCTATTTCAAAATGGTAGCACTTTAAAACAAACTAAATGTTTAACAATAGAAGTATAAATAAATTTTTGTACATTTTGAGGTATCCACTCAAACCAATGTTATATAGCATACTAAAAAAAGCCTGATAATAATGGGTCTGTGATAATATAAACCTTCCATATTTAAAATGTTAACCGAAGAATCAGAATGCAAAATTGTGTGTATACAAAATTGTCACAGATGTAAAACTATTCATAGAAAACAATTTAGAACAATACACAATTTTTCCACTAGTTTGTTTTTTTAAATTTTTTACAGTAAGCTTATATTATTTACAAAAAGAGAAAAATTTTAAAAAAAGGTTTTCTTTAATGGAAAGCTTGGTATTGTTATATGTAGTGAAAGCTCTCTCAATCCTTTCTAAACCAAAGTAACTTACACACACAGAATCCAGAACACTCCTAATTAATGGAATTCCTTTCAACTGGATTGTTACTAGAGCCAAGGTAGTATATTTTTCCAAATTTGGTAATGTCTATTATACTGGTGACTGAAACTATGTAAGATAATAAAATATTTTATAAGTGAATGAAATAGGATTAAGACAAGTTTATATAGAAAGATCCAATAAAGGTATGTTACTAAAAGAATGGCTGTCAGATGAAAATACTGGGAAAACATGGGGAATTATGATTAAGATTTATATTAAAAATCACAAAAATATAGAATGATTCTGCACTCAGACTACCACGCAAATAGCCTTAATTATTTTTCCTTAAAAAAGCAAGAAAAAAAAAAAGGCAAGAAAAGACAAGTAAATACTATCCATGATACATTATTAGGGACGTTTGTGCTACAAAGATGAATGCATTCCACCATTAGTACATTTTAGTTCAGTGCAAAGGTCTGTCTGTCTTATACCAAAAATTTCATATTTGAATACATAATTTGTATCTTTTAAGCAGAAGCAAAATGATTAAACCGTGTATACTTCAATTAACTTTTTAAAATAAGCCCACCAAATACTCACTCATTGGTTAGATAAGAAGGAGTCTAATGTACATAATATATACACACAAAAGTTACTTATAATCATATGTGTAATTTTAATTTATTGAAGAAATGATGTTATGTATATATTTTATATGTGAATACATGTGTGTATATGTGTGTATGTAACAATATATTCATACCTGTATACACATACATAAAATATATATAAATACCATGAAATTATCTCCTCTACTGCTTGACCAAATCATGCAATCATGCAATAGACCTTTCATAAGGAGGTAATTTAGCAAACTCAGAGTGTGAAATTAAACTTGGTAACAATGACCACGGTGCGTGTAGGCACCACAGTTCTAGTTGAAAGCATCTTGTTTAACTTACTGTTCCTTTACCCTTATCAGCAATGGCCAGAGCCTAAGAACTTCTTGTTTAGACATCCTAAGATTCACTTTCTAGTGAGGTTCAAGTACCTAAAACTAAGCTCTTACTGCAAAGGTACCATTTGCACCCCACTCAGATGTTTGCCTAGGAACTCTTTGGATTTGTAAGTCTCTTAGGGGCTAGTTCAAGTTTTTAAAGCTTCTTCCTCTTCAGGATGTAGAGTAAGATTGGTCAAATAAATTCAGAAGTCCAAACGGTGAAGGAAATTGCTCTTGTTTAAAATATATAAGAACATTTTGTTTTGGTGAATGGGCATATTTTCATTTTTCTCCTTTACTGAAAAGACATAAAAATAGTATCATATATAAGAGAGCATTATACTACTATTAAGTATAATAAATAGTAAGAACATATTTCAAGTAAACCTGAGTTCAAACCTTTGCTCTTTGCTTTCTAGCTCTGTGATCTTGGGCAAGTCACTTAACATCTCTGAACCTTATTTCCTCATCTTGAAAAACAAAAACACAAACACCACCATCTTCATGAGGTTCTTGTGAAACTAGTTAAAATGACTTATATGCTTGGCATATTTATTGAGTGGAAGACCAATAAATGTTAATTTCTCCTCCTACTCAAGTTTTAGTGTCTTAATTGGGAGTAGGTTTATTTGTGGATCCAAATCAGTAATATACATCAGAGAGTCTGGCCCAAGTCTGACAAACAATAAGTGTCTCCTCTTAAAAAAATAAACTGAAAATATTTATAGATAACCTCTTGTTCAATGTTGTTTGTACTCTTAGTTAACTTCATTAATTGCATAGAGACTATACTCTTGCTTAATATACATTTCACATACACACTCATCCACTCAAAAAGGTCCAAATGAAATGTAAGGCTTACCTGCAGTTCCAGAGAGTTCCACACTTAAGGTTCGTTCAATAGTCTTGTTCTCAAATGGGGAACCCTTGGGGTCACTGGAAGATATGGCACATTTATAAAAACAAACTGAAATGGAGTTGCTGTAGCCAAATGTATTAGAACCCCCTTCCCTTTCTGAAAATGGTTACATTTCTTAATACTTACTTTGGTGACTCTGGGGTCAGAGGAAGAGATAAAGTTGTTGGTTTGGCTAAAGGGAAAAAAAGGAAACTAATTATGAAATATTGAGTGTTTTTCTGATTTGGTTTCTTTCTACAACAGTCAAGTTGGAAACTGGAAACAGGAAAACTAAAGTAAGGAAATCCCTGAATATTGGATCAAAGTCAGACAACAGTCCATTATGCTAAAACAAATTCCAAACAACATTTGCATCAGTAGACTATCATTTGAAAACATATACGAAAACAGAATTTTCCCCAAAATGTAGCATCACTGTTAAGGATACAAAATTTGCATAAGACCATCAGAGAAAAATAATGTTTTCTATTTTAATTTGGAATATAGTACACGGTTTGTTTAGACACGAAAACAGCAGAGTAACTACAAGACGACAGAACGTTATGAATATTCAGTTGATTTTTCTTCTAAAATGTATAATTTTATATCTAGCTTTGAGAATAGGTTATTTCTGTGAGGCCAAACTCCCTCAATAACCATTCTATTTGCTTAAAATTAATTGAGAGACCATGACAAATTACAGACACTGACCCAAATAGTTTAGAAGGGTTAAGATCCCCAAATCTGATAGACAACTAAAGTAAAAATACTGTTTATCAGTTGAGAGACCTATAGACTTGCAAAGAGAGCTCATCTACTTCTTTTGATGTTTCCTGAATCTTACCTCCTACAGGAGGCATTTCCCAATTATGAAGGGTGGAGTAAGAATCTTCTCACTCCAAAATTTCAATTGCTTCTCCTTGGCAGTCTTGTATTTTGAACAGAAGGAGGAGAAAACTGGTGAGAAACGTACTTGGGGTATACATCCACATATTATGTATATATATATACACATATGCTTACCTATAAAGATATGTTTATATGTATGTGGGTTTTGTCATTTTTTCTCATTAAAATAACTACTTTCAAAAGGTCAAGAGGTAGTCATTTATGTAATGAAAATCATGGACTTGAAACCAAAAAGGTCTTTAGAATAAACTTTCTTATTTTATGGATGAAAAACTTGAGACCTAAGATGCTTAATGATATTTCCAGGGCCATAAAACTAGTTACTGGCAGAGCCAGGCCCAGAATATGTTTTCCTTCTCCTATTATCAAAAAGAATTGCATTCAATAGATATTAAAACAAATTAATCAACCTCAGTAATTAAGGTCCCTTGAAATGTGAAAATATTATTTATGTCCAAATTAGGTTGAAATTAGGTACTTTACTTGGACAAATAGTATTTACATATTTAATTTGTAGATTTAAAATTCATTTTCAAGCAACTGAATGTTTATCATCTATCCAGTGTGCATCCAGAAATATGAAGCTAATGCAAATTAGGTGCATTGATTGATTGGCTTTTTCAGATATACCAATAAATAAACTGATTTGACATTAATTTTTTAGTATATCTGATATAAAGAGCCTTTCAAAAAGAACACATTTATGAAGGAACTTTACCAACTTCTCTGTTGCTCAATTAATAATTAAGATGACCCATATAGGTTCTACACAAATATCACCAGGTATGAACTAGGTGCTGTCACACAATGATGTGCATTGTAAATAAGTTGCTGAAATTTCAGTTTTCAGGGTTTAGGGTAATGTTCAAAGGAAGATTCCCAAAATTCTGATAGTTGGGTACAAGTAAAGCCTATGGCAACGGAAGGAGATGGTTGTATTTCATGAGACAAAATGCAACCAGCAAATGAGGGCCACAGCAAGGGTATAGCTTCAAGAATCCAATCCTAAAATAAGCCCACACTTACAAAAACTACCACTAGAGAAGTGCTGATCTGGTTTATTGTAAGTTTAACTACACTGTTCCAATGACTGGAAGACCAGGGACTCTGAGATCCTTGAGGACAGGAATGAAACTTTTTCATGAAGATCATGGTATTTCTGATGAATAATTGCATTAGCAAAGGGGTCAATAAAAGAATAAATGGACCCCCACAATTGCCAAAGTCCAGACCATTATACTAAGGAAGTGAGCTTGATGCACAATAGTACAGAGAGCATACCTGAAGCTAGTGTGAAAAAATGGCCATACATCCAGTAAGGAAACCTCGGAAAATTCTCTTAGCTATTGCCTCTAATTGTTCACGTATTTTCTATATTAAAATTCTGAATAATAAATACCCCCTGAAACTCAGAATTTATTTCCTATTGGTTTTTAACAATCAGCCATAGCTACATGATTGTTTCCTTTTAGACCTTAAGTAACTACAGGAGTTGTTGTTGTTGTTAATAAGCTTTGCTCTGTTCTGGGCTAGCTACACTTCTGCTGCCTCACCACAGAAACATACCTTATAAAAAAAACCTACATACAGCAGGTCTCACCTAAAGAATATGTCCTTCAAAGGCCAATTTATTTCTCACTGCCATGGTTTGTAACAGATTACAGTAATATTTAGTGGTGCGTGGACTGACAAAGTTTTAAAACCCTCAAAATCCAAAAGGACCGATTGAAAAAAAAAAGAGAGAGAACAGAAAACCCCACACACTCTTCAGAGCATGTGTTGCTGGACTAGGTTTACTCACTAAAGGGTTCTCGCAAGTTTGTGGCTTCAAATTCAGCTCTAGAAAATGAACGCATGAGCAGGACCAGGCAGGGACTAGTCCAATGAGCCCTTCAATTCAGGGCCTAGAATCCCACAGCACAGCTGGTCCCGAGCTAAGAAAACTGTTCCAGCGCATGCGTTTGAGAAGCCAGTCAAGGCTAAGCAAACTAAGAGACCATGGCTCATTTTGATAAGTATATTTCCTTGAACTGATAGAAAGGGATGGACAGTGATTTCAAGGTATCCACCAGGGAAAACCTAATTAAGAGCCAATTAAAAAAATATGAAAATTCCAGGCTTATGGTGAAGTAGGAATGAGAGAGGGAAATTCAAAACACTGGGAAGGAGAAGATGTATTAAAAGCAGCAGCAACGGCATACCTGTATGAAATAATCATGGTTCAAAACAGGGAGCAGGGGCTACCACTCTGCAGCTGGAAGGGGCATCGGGGAAACAGAAGGAAGAAAAAGAGGTGGATGTTTATAATTGCTATTTTAGAATGTGTCTACTTCCACTACAAAATCAGAGGAACAAATCATGTGGAAGTTAAATATATTAAAGGAACAGCAACTTTCTATGAGCTCTCTTTGGGCCTCTACAACTAGAATGCTTTGAGGAAAGACACCAAAAATTTTAAAAAGTTTATATTTGCCAACAGAATTTTCCCCAAATCACCCTGATCTGCTCATGAGCATCAGCTTTTCAGTAACGTACGGGGACAATAGACGTCAACCCTGATGTTTAGTATATAAGCAATATATTTTTAAATAGGAAGAAGAAATTTTAAATATCCAGGAATTTCCAAATTCATACTTACAAAATAAAATGTGTGAGTATGCCATGTAGTCTAAAAATAGAATGTACATCATAACTGGGAGTGACTGCCTAAGTACTATTTGCTATTTCTTAAAGGATAAACAGCAATCAACAGTGCCTCATTTTTTTCCGCCATTATTGGAAGGGAAAAAAAAATAAAAGCTTTTTCATGAATTGGCTAGCCCAGCTTGCTCAGAACATCAGTTATCTCAGCAATTCAGAGATTCCTACAAACCTCACCTGATGTTGCAATTCCCTCTGCACCCCATCTCCCACAACCTGGCTAATATTTCAGGTGCCTTTTGGTGATTGTGAACTGGGCTGCATTTCAGCTGAATAGGATATGTTCAACCTGTGTCCAAGGAAGGACTTTTCTTGCCTACTATCATAAAGTGTTGAACTCTCTGTCAAGAGAGACACCGATGGGACAGAAGCCTGAAGTTCAGGCATCCTCAACCTGCAGCAGGTTTGCTCTGCCCTCACCACCCCTACCAGCAGTGGGTGTCCAGGGGTCCAGCCTACCTTGTAGATGTTGCGTCTGCGATTGTGTGTGGGCCTTCTTTTTGGAGGTGCATTTGTCTCTGCTGCTGTTCCGGTTCTCTGTGGGTTTGGTGTGAGGAGGGTCATCATTTGTGGTCAGATACTTGAGAAGCTCCGAGCACGGACGTCTTTGTGGCTTTTGCTGTTGACAAATGCTCTTCGCTTTATTGCTCCATGAATTCTCGGTCTTAAAAACAAGGCATAAAGAAAGGGAAAATTAGTGAACTGAACCTTATCAAAATGGATATAGGTTTTCTGAAGAGATGAGATTTTCAATGAAGTGTTCAGTCTAAGTGTACTAGATCTATGAGCTGTGAATAATTGTTTGCAGAACAAGGAAAGAAAATTACATTTAAAATTCCTAAATGACATTTATACAGCTTTTTATTTCATTTCTCCTACATTTCAATGTTCCTACTCAGCAACATGTAACTAACAAGACCCTACAGCGCCTTTACTGTGAATAAAAAAAAAAAAAAGCTGGCTTAAACCTTAATTTGCCACTGATTGCCAGAGCCCAGTATTCACAATTCTCTTAAGTACCCCTTAACGCTCCGTTTTCACTCGCAGTGAATGGCAAGACAAACATTGTTTAATACAGCCCGCTAACTGAATTATGTCATTGCCAGCATTCCATCCAATTAATGGCAGAGATAGATCTTTTGCGGTGATTCCTGAGCTCAGGTTAGACAGCTGGCAAAATGGCACTGCAGCATCTTAGAGACATTCATAGATGATACCAACCTATCAGCAAATTTTATTGTAGCCCACGCTGCTACATGTATTAATAAAGTAAGCATGAAGTAACAGATGGTAGAACTTTCATTTCAATTGTCCAAAGACAAAGCATCGATGAACTCCTCCTTGCTTCAAATAGCTAGACTACTGCTTTTGGAGACTCATTTTATAATGTTTCACCATTATGAAGTCTCTGCAGGATTCCAGCTGAATTAATGCATAGAAGCCTATTGTTTATAGCTTTAAGCAAAACCTCCTTGTGACTTCCCCTCCTGTATTAAAAAAACTTTATATTCGTACCTTAACAACTGCAGGGTTTGTTCTGATCCTGTGATTATGGTTTCCATGGTTCTGGGTACTGAGGCCACTGCATTCATTATAACTTAGCTGAGTGTTGGCTGGTGCCAGTAAGAGCTTCTTAAGCTAGAAACATATCCAGGAGGAGGGAAAGCAAGAAAAGTTAGGCATCTTTTAAGCATGAGAATAAGCCACTGAAACTTTAACCTTAAAATTAATTATAATTACAAAAATGGATTCACTCTAATCACAGAACACCTTAGCACAATAGCAGTAAAGGAAACTAATTTTAAAAAATTAGAAAAAGTTGGGTATTACACTACCAACTGTGAAAGTGTTACCGTTTGCCACATTTAAAACTTAGCTGTGTCTACCTTAATTTTTCTTTAGATAAAACAAGGCAAAAGAATCTTCCTAAAAAGATTCCAAATACCTATGAGGTGAGAAAAGCTGCTTTGCTAAATGAAAGCTAGCAGAGTGTGTGCACATTTTCCCCTCAATAACCCAAATGAATCAAATACCAATAAATGAAAGATTCTGTGATGCCTTGAATCATGTTTTTCAAATAAGCATAAAACAATACTGATTCAAAGAAGATTTGGGCTAAAAGAGTAAGTTTCACTAAAAAGGGTTTTTAAGAGGGTAGAGTCCTGGCCTGTAGATCAGGAGATGTGGGTTTTGGCTTAGGCAAAACATTTCCTCTCTCTTGACCTCTGTCTCTTCATTTGATTCAGTGGCCTGAATCAGGAGCTCCCTGCTGGGACATGCAGCAAGACTCTGAGTCAACAATCCCTCCCAGTTGAAACCATGGTGTGGATGGAAATGATTGGGTATCATTATAAAGAAATCAGAGCACTAGAGAGCAAAGCCAATGCCATAGACACAAGGAAAACCTGGGAAATACATATGCTATCATTGCTTATAAGACAGTCTCCTCCAGACCAGAAATCTCAAAATGCAAAGGAATATAAGTAGAGTCTCATAGCCTTCTACGGAATGCTTTTAACATTTAAAAACTTAGAGATGGGAGAAAAACAGCAACTATAAGACAGACCAAAGCACATTATTAAAGTTTGCAGGATGACATTTCATAATTTACGTTGTATGCTCTTACATCAGATTTATGGCAAGTGACAAATGGCTACCATAGCTGAGAAGGTAAACTGTGTCTTAGAACTAATAAAATCCCGGTTGAGCACTGCCTTGAAAAGAAAATTCACTCTTCATTGCTAACAAATCCACTCTTCATTGCCTACCATAAATTTAGGAAACTTAGGTTGCAAATGTGCTATTATTTTCCAATCTTCATAAGAATTATGGATGCAAAGCCTTAAAATATTGCATGCTCTTTGATCCACCCTCTATTTCTAAAATAATATGCATGAGAATAAAACTACAAATATATCAATTATCATGCCATTTATGATCATCAAAAAAAATAGGAAAAAGACTAAATAACCAACCATAAGGGATTGCTTAATGAATTGGTTCATCTCTGAACAATAAAATACTATGCAACCATTCAAAACTATGCATCTATTTAAAGTTCCCAAACATGCTCATGATACATCTTAAAACAAGAGGAGATTTTGATCCTTTTTGATATTAGAGGCTATTTGAAATTACAGGTGAACTTTCTGTCTATTCTTTTAGTCATCTACATTTTCTAAGTTTCTAACCATAAACATAAATAATACTAAGACATCAAAACCTACAAATAAACAGCAAAAGATAGTTTCAAAAAACTGCAGTAAGACCACATGAAGTCTGTATTATCAACATTTTTCAACAGGGAATCACAGAATTTGCAACTCTGAGTGTGCTTGGGGATTATTTTGGCATCAGTCTAAATGAAAAATCCAAACCTTATTGTTACTACATCATACCCATGCAGCGGGTAGCCAGAGGCAACTTCAATTCCTGTTAAACAGTAGGAAGGGTTCTTACTAGAGACGGCTCTTCTGCCTCCTGAGGCGGAGGGGTGCCATCAGGCATGGAGGAAGGACTAGCCTCATTCTCGGTGGTCACATCTCCATCTGTCAGTGCATCAAATGAGGGCAATCCGTCTTCATCCACAGGGAGACTGTCCAGTGTCTCTGTGAGGACCGCTAGCAAGTTTGCCTCATTCTCTTCATCTATCTTCTGCAAAAACAGTAAAATAGAGGAAGGCATGAGTGAGTTGACACTGGGAGATGAGTAATCTGTTAATCAGCATAGACTGAATATGTTTAACCAAATGAGTACATGATACATGAAATTCGAAACATTTATGCCATAACACAAAACTCACGTCCTCCTCAAATTCCAAACTCCCTTTTGGTCTGAATAATCATACAATCAATCAATACCTCTACTGGACCAATCTCCGATTATTGAGCTTTCTAATTTAGCTATTTATTATGTCAGTGTTAATAATGCTAAATGTGATTCTGTCTTGTTCACAGTCATTTTTCTCATATTTATGTCTTGTTTTCTTAACTAAAAGAGAAGATTTAGAGAACCTCAGGGCTTGAGAGAATTTTAACCATTATCTACCACAGCTTCAGACAGTGCTTCAATAGTGTTTCAGTCTCCTGTATAGCATATGCATCAAAATGTTTAGATAATTCTCTGTTTAAACACTGCCAGAAACTTAAAGTATTCCAAAAGAAACTATACACTTTCATGGTTTCATTTATAATTTCATCACTGAACACTCCACAGGCATTTATTTCTCTCCTTGACATGTCTCCCAACTTTAGTCATAAATCTGTAATTGCCTACTGGACATTTCTGCCTGATAAGAGGTTCCTTGTCTAAAAATTCAAAATAAGGACTTTTCTTGAAAAAAACAAAAAAACAAAAAACGTGCTGTTTCTCTTCATTTTCTGGGTTTGTATAAGAATTCTACAGATCCTTAACTCTGGAACTACCTTGAATTCTCTTTACCTGGCCAGTCACTAAGTAGGGTCTTATTTTGTAGCATATCTCAAATGCATTCATTTCTCAAGACCAAGGTACTTTCTAGGGCAATGTTCCTTCTAACAGGGGCTCTTGCAAACATAAATTTAACTCATGTTCCCACCTGCCACACTCATTCCCACCAACACATCCTTGGAAAGCTGATTTTCAGTTATTTATTACACAAACATTTTGAACACCTACTATATGTCAGGGTCATGCTAGGTGTTAGAGACACAAAGAGAAATAAGACAAAACTGCCCCTTTGAGAACCCACCAATGGAAGGAAAGAACCTGTAAACAACATGCTATAAAAGAGAATATTTGTTTATTTCAGCACTCTGTAAAAAGAAAAAAAAAAAACCTCAAGATCTTCCAAACTGGAGCTTATATACCTTGTCGATAGGGCAATGTACTATATTCTTGTGTACCTGGGCAACCAATGCCAATGCTGGGCACACAATATAGTAAGTAATTGATTACTTGCTGAATAATTCATTGATCTGCATTTTTTTGCCTAAAATACACACTGTGTAGATTACTTTCCTTTTCTCCTTTAAGCACTTCATGTTGTCCAATCTGACCTGCTTCTTAAGTCATTTTTTAAGTTCTGTACACTATGACATTAATAATATCAGCTCAATTATCCCACACAGATTCTATTACAAAATGCACCTAAGCTGCTGACATCTAATGAAGCCAGCAGTGCCCATACTTCCTTTCTCTCTAGCACCGGACTCCAGTTAATTGACCTGACAAAATTACAAGAATCGCAGAATAAGACAGCTAATCAGAAAATCAAATTGTATTACTAGAGAAATTAGGCAGGCCTTTCTCACGTATACATTCTATTTTCATATAAAAATTGTTTTCCCTCATTACTGATGAGTCTCCATCCAGGAGGAAAACTATAAACCTCTTTCTCTTTTGGATTCAAGAAGTCAAGAAGAGCAATATATGCTCATGGTAGAGTTTATTCGGCATTTTTAACATTTGTTTCAATTTCCTTAATGCCCCTGGACTTGACGTTGTGAGTTAAGTGGTTTGAGGCACACAGGATAGAGTGACAGTTCTGTGAGTTTTTAGACTGTGGTACAGGAGGTAAATTCAACCAGAAGGGGTGAAATGTTAACTTCAAAAAGGCACCACTTCCTTCTGTAAATTGATCGATTCTTTACATTCCAAATTGCTCAGTTGAATGGAAATGGAAAGACTTTACTGAGCATCCCCCTCACCCTCAACTCTTCTGGCCTCTGTCCATGCAACCTTAATAATAAAGATCCTGAAATAATCTGCCCCTATTTTCTGTGGAGGATCATAATCTGGTATCCAAAGATGCCAATCTCTCCCTTTTAATTTTAACTTAGATTTCCTCATGTACCAAAAACCAAATTCAGGTTATTGAACTATTCTGAATAAAACTTATATGTAAATGAAATATATTGCTTAAAATCATCTCAAAATCATGAGATTTATATTAATATAAATATCCCCATGTTATCTAATAAATATAGTCTTTGAAAATGTCTCAAACATACCAGACATGCTTACACACACACACATACACACACATGCATGTACAAACAACCACACACAAACACAGTTTAAATAAATAAATTGGACATTTTTTCCAGATAACCTAGTTTCCAGAAAGGCTTATTTCACTGAAGTTCAAAAAGAACTTAGGCAAAAATAGTTAAGCATGTTTACCAATAAATGAGTAATTTTGTTTACTCCGATTTAAATTTTGTGTTTGACTTCCCAGCAATGCTACAAGCCCTTATTTGCTTTCAATCACATAATACAATAGCATCTTAGTTCTATCCCTAGTGTAAACAAACCATGATAATTCCAATCAAGTCAAAATGACAAAGAACACTTAAATCAACTAGTTTTCTCCAATTTCCTTAATAAGCCTGGGTGAATGTACACCAAATACAATGGCAGAAATACTGGAGCTTGATAATGTCATAATTAATTTACAAGACCTGATTAAACCACCAGCTATTTAAATTTTCCTCTCTTCTGAAACCACAATGGGAGGGGAGAGTTTGTGGAATGGAAGACTGGCATTGTGTATTTGTGTGTGTGTGTGTGTGTGTGTGTGTTGAGATATGCAAAGTGGGCGGGCTAGTCTTAAATCAGTATGGAACAGTGGGACTGTAATCATTATAGTCAATGTCCATTAGAAATAATTATTAAACATTTTCATTTTCTTACTATCCTTGCATAAGTGTTACTCAGAGAGGTGCTCTTAGACTGTTTTGATAGAGCTGTTCTTGAATTAAGAAAGAAAAGAATGCTATGATTTCAAATTCTGTTTTCTTTCATCAGAGCAGACTAGGAGGAAGGTTTAATGACACTTCTGTGTTGAAGCTCAACAGATATTTGTACATGCAAAGTTGAGTGGACATTATACCTTATTCTGACAATTTCAATTAGTTTGACATGAGTTTCAACAACTGAACACCCCAGAGAAGGCGATGCATGTGACAAAAAGAACTCTGTTAACCAATTAATGTTGCTTCCCATTATTGCTTCAGTATAGAGCTGCCCTGGTGGCTCAGCGGTAAAGAATCTGCCCGCAATGGTTCAATCTATGGATAGGGAAGATCCCCTGGAGGAGGGAATAGCAACCCACTCCAGTATTCTTGCCTGGAGAATCCCATGGACAGAGGAGCCTGGTGGGCTACCGTCCATGGGCTCATGAAGAGTCGGATACAACTGAGGGACTAACACTTCCACTTCCACTGTTTTTATAAAAAAATATATGTATTAGTTCCACATAACTGAAGGCAAGAAAAGCAAAGAGGAGAAAAAGAGAGAGTAGATCACCAACTGGGTGGTAATCTACCATTGCACAAACGGTTCAGTCTCAGTTCGGGGCAGAAAGGCAGAAATAAAAATGGGAAATAGTCAAGGAGACCTTCCATGTGAGGCAACCAAGTCACAATGAAGAGTCAGACATGACTGAGTGAGTAAGCACGCACACACACACCCCAAATCTGAAACAATGCTGTGTCACTAATAAATGATGGTTCAGAGCAGTCAATTAAGCCAGAAAATTCATTTCTTCTCTTTGGGATTGCAGGTCCCTATGTGAATTGCACTAAGTGTGATATAATTCAAAAGGTACGGTTGAAGAAAGGTAAATTCTGCCCCCTTACATGCCCAAGTCACCTCAAGATTGAAATTTGGGATCCAGTATATAATATCTGGGTCTTGTTCTTTAGTGAGCGGTTGGCAAAAGGATCTTTCAACTAGTTACACGTGGTGGGGCAGACAATGCATTCAACTCACCCAACTGCACACAGAGTGAATAAATCCACTAAATTAAGGAGGAGATGAGGGACTCTGAGATCCTGACACCTGAAGGGAGAAACACAGAGTGAAAACTGCGTGAGGTATCCTGAATACTTTTAATGCAGGCTATTTTGGAAGGACCATGCCCTGCTTATGATAGTAATTTTTTCCACATCTTGTAGAATTGCAATTACACTCTGTGTCCCCAGATTCTCACACTTGCTTGATCTCTGTTTGATAAAAATAGTTTAATAGCCATTTAATCACAGCTTCATTATCTTAACACTCTTAATGCGAATTAGGCCAGGAGAATTGACTCTTCCTTATTATTCACATCATCAATAAGAAGGAAACAGTGGTGTCTTCTTATCATTCACTAATCAGTTTCAGTACCTTAGGTACTACTGTTTACTCCAAGATCAATTTGTATGAATGGTCACTTAACCTCTCCGAGCCTCCACTTTTTTACTACATAAAATTTTGGGTTATTATCTGCCAAATTCCTATTACAGAATTTTTCTGCACTCATGAGTAATAAGGAGAAAAAAACACAAACAGTTGATAGAGGTCTGAGAATTCTTAAAGAAGGTGCTCAATAAACATCTCTGGTGTATATGCCCATCATCTTGATTAGCCATATTTGAACTCCATTCTTTGAGCACGATCTACAGTCGAATTTCAGCACTGGGCCAGCTTCCTCCCAAATTCCCAGCAAGCTTTAGGCTTCCTTCCTGCCCCATACTGCTGATTTGGAAGCAGCTAATGAAGACAAAATTAACTCCTACTTTAAGTGAGGCCTAATTAAGAAGGGAAATCGGCTAAAGTAACATCTGGTAATGTGTTCTGAAGCCAAATATAAATGACATTTTTGGATTATCCACTATTTTGGACTATTTGTT